GTGAAAAACCCTCAAAAAAAAAAAAACAAAAAAAAAAAAACAAAAAAAAACAAAAAAAAAAAACAAAGTCAAACAGAATGTGGTAGCCAGACTTCAAGGTGCCCCAAATGGTTCTCGCTTTCTAGTACTCACGCCCTTGTGTCACCCCACGTTGAATGGGGTTAACCGATGGAGCAAAAAGGATACTGTGGGAATGACCATATGTGACTTCCAAGGCTAGCTGATGACACTGTAGCTTCAATCTTACTCTGTCATCTCTCTCAGGGAAGTCAGCTGCCTGTTGTGAGGACACGTGAGGACTTTCATAAAGGTAGGAACTAAGGCCTCCTGCCAGCAGCCAGTGTTAACTTGCCAGCTCTGAAAATGAGCCATCTTGGAAGTGAATACTCTAATCCTCGCCAAGTCCTCAAAAGACTGCAGCCTCTGGCCAACCTCACCTTATGAGAGACCTCAAGCCAGTACCATTCACCAAGCTCCTGACCTACAGAAACTGTGAGAGACAGTGAATGTTTACATTTGAAGTCACTAGGTTTGGCAGTAATTTGTTATAACACACAGAAATTTAACAGAAAGCATTACATACATGTGTGTACACACACACACACACACACACACTTGGAATTTTAAACATACTCTTCCATTCCTCTTGAGTTAGTTTTGTTACCCTCCATGGTACATTTAAAATCTCACAAAAATGCAGTCACCTAAAATAGGAAGGAAACATTGAGATTAGTTTAGGGGAATGTTCGAGGATGCTTCAGTTATTTCTATCCCCTTTCAAGAAGTAAAAATTAAATTATAAGAGTTGTAGCTTATCCCTGTTTTTCTTAGTACAGCAGATCCAGAAATAAAGGAGTATTAATATATGATTATCAAACACATAAAACGAAATCTTTATGCAAACTGAAAAACAGATATAATAAACTAGCTAAATTTTCTGTGCACGGGCAGTCTTCAGAGGAAATGGTATGATATTAAGCAGAATTTTGTTTATTATGCTGTTTCTCTGTTTTTCCATCTTTAAGGCTTCCACCAAGGGTAAACGTGTTTCACCTAGATTAGACGGGGCCACACTCACGTAGAATCATACTGGTCTGGTTTCTCATTCCTCATGCCAGAAACCCAGGAATCATTCCTGCCATCACCTCTATCTTGACATCAGCATTCCCCCCAATCCAAACCATCGCCAATTCCTGTGGATTTTATCTTCTATTTCAATATCCCCTAAGACCTTGCTGTTTGTTATTTTTTTCCCCCAGAGAGATTTTTGCAATAGGGCATGTGTGCTCACCAGAGAGATTGAGACAGAGAGACAAAGTGAGAAATCACCCCCAGGGGGATGGTCATGCCACAATCCCTTCTCCTCCATTTTCCTCTTGGGATCGTAGGCATGTACACACATGCACCCAGGGTGAATTTAAGCTGCTGGGCTCAGGACTTGAACCATGGTCAACTACATGGGAGTCTAGTAACATAACCACTATCCCATCAGCTGGTCCCTTGTTTCTTACTTCAACTGTCCTAACAGCCTCCAAAGTAATTTTAATTTCAACTTGAACTATTCTTTCCCTCATTTCTTCATCTTATAAATCCCCACTGACTCTTCGGCTTGAAATAGTGACATTCTTTTGGGTATCTGGTATTTGTCTCTCTAGAGCCATTGCCACCAATTTCTGTGCTCTGACAGAATGACCCATATGGAGTACATAAATGGAAGATTCCATAAAGAGATCTAAAGAGTAAGAGAATGTGCCCACATGGTGCACTACATGGTTCAATGCACAGATCCAGTGGTTTGAAGAACACCAGGCCATGTGTGCATCCCCAAAGTTGTGAAAGGAGGGAGAAATGGAAGAGAAGGGATTGCAGCATGACCATTCCACATGGGAGATGCTTTCTACTTTCCCTATTTCTGTCTCTCTCTCCCTGGAAAGTGCACATGCCCTCTCTAATGTGTGTATGTATGTGTGTGAATATATATATATATGATTTATTCATTCATTTATTTTAATTTGACCAGAGAGAGAGAAAGTAAGAAAGCAAGCCATCAGGTCTGGGACTTGAGCTTTGTGGGAGTGTCCAATGCCTTAACCACTGATAACTTTTTTTTTTTAAAGAATTTTATTTAATGTTATTCATTCATTCATTTACTTTTCATTTGACCAGAGAGAGACACAGAGAGAACAAGAGAAGTGAGAAAGCAAGCCACCAGGTTTAGGACTCGAACCATGGTTGGCCATGTGGGAGTGTCCAGTGCCTTAACCACCATGCCATCTGCTGATCCCCAACCATTGATAACTTCTATGGAGAAAAATTAAGCAGAGAGGCTGCTGTGAAGGAGGTTTTATATATATATATCACACACACACACACACACACACATATATACACACATGTGTGTGTGTGTATTCAGAATTCCAGTTCTCAGTCACCCCCATCTACACATCATAATCTCTCATCAGGATAGTTATGGCTGTATCCTAATTGATCGTCTTCCTTGTGCCCTTGCCTGCCCATTCAATCTCAGTACAGTGGTCCTATTAAAATGGAAGTCATTTTGTGTCTTCTGTTCACAACCCTAAAATGGCTTTCTGGGGTCAGCAGGTTATGTGGTAGTTAAAGCACTGGATTCCCACATGGCCCACTGCAGTTGGAGTCCTCAACCTGATGACTTGCTTTCTCACTTTCCCTTTCTCTAGCTCTCTCTCTCTGTGGTCAAATTAAAATAGTAATAATAATAACAATAACAAATAAAGTTAAATGATAAAAAAAAAAGCCTCCTTTACAGAAGCCTCTCTGCTTAATTTTTCTCCATAGAAGTTATCAGTGGTTAAGGCACTGGACACTCCCACGTGGCCAACCACAGATCAAGTTCCAGACCTGATGGCTTGCTTTCTTACTTTCTCTTTGTCTCTGGTCAAATTAAATGAATGAGGGACCAGCAGTTAGCGTAATGGCTATGTCGCTGGACTCCCATGTAGTTGACCGCAGTTCGACTCCCAGACCTGGTGGCTTAAAACTCACGTTGGGCACATAAGCGTGTGCGTGTGTGCCCAAGATCCTGAAAAGAGAATGGAGGAGAAAGGATTGCAGCATGGCCATCCCCCCTGGGGGGGTGATTTCTAACTTTCTGTCTCTCTGTCTGTCTAGCAAGCACTTATGCCCTATAGCAAAAATCTCTCCAAAAAAATAAAATAAAGGAATAAATAAAACTAAATAATAATTTTTTTAAAGTTATCATTTTCTAATGTGCCATAGTTTCCTTGCTAATCGTCTAGCTCCCCCTAATAGGATATAAGTTTCTTGAGGGCAGAAATTTCTGTTTGTTGGGGCCAGCAGGTGGCATGGTGGTTAAGGGCCGTGGTCTCCCACGTGGCCGATCACGGTTCGAGTCCTGGACCTGGTTCGGGTCCTGGACCTGGAGGCTTACTTTCTAGTGTTCTCTCTCTCTCTCTGACTCTGTCCCTCTCTGGTCAAATGAAATAAATAAAGTTAAATAAAATCATTCTTCAAAAAAAAAATTCTGTTTTGATTATGGCAAGGTCTTCCAAGCCTTGAAGAAAATCTTGGTACGTGGTAAATGCGCCATACTTAGGAAATGTAAATCTCTGAGATCCACTAACCTGATCTAATCTACAAGTGTTTGCTGAGGACTATTACGCGTGGCGCGGTGCTGCAGTTTGCCTGGTGGCTGAAAAGAATTCTCCTAAAAAGGCTATAATGCCTCCTAGCGGGCTGTCCCCCTCTCTCTCGGAGTCAAAGCGAAAAATGGAAGTAAAAACTTATTTCTTGAAAGAGGTAAAGGAATAGAGAGGAGGAAAGGAGAAAGAACAAAAACAAGCCCAGAAGGTGGTAAAGATAAGAGCTCTTCTGCCTCGGCGCTCCTCCTGCCTCGGTGCTCCCGCCTCTTCTCTCCCAGGTGGGCCCGACGCCGCGAGCTCCGTCCGCCCTCTTCGTGTGCTGCAGCAGGGAAAAACACCCGCCACTTCGCGAATCAATCCCAGATATCCGGGGCGTGCAGACCAACGCCAGTCCCACTTCGCCTTTCCAGCTGCCTTTCGGTAAACCTAGATCCAGGAACCACGCTAAGGTGTTTCTATGGCAACGCACAACCGTAGGGGACCATTTCCGCTCCTCCTTTAGCTGGCTATCCGATTGCCTTTCTCTTCCCAAATAAAACATGTCATAGATTACAACTATGAAAAGATTTAGGAGAAGAACTGTAAGAGTATTCTTGAATGTGGCTATTTCAGTGCGAAGACAATTTCTGAGGCTCGTTTTCCGGGCGGTTGCGGAAGATACCTAAATTGGGGCGGAGCGAAGAGGTGTTTTTCCCACAAGGCCACGCGGCCGGACTTTGCTTTCCTTTTTCCGCCATCTTGGGGCCTGTGGAGGTGAGTGAGGATCCTGCTGCTGAACTTTGGGAACAAATAATCGAGGTGGGCTTCACTGTGTATGTCGGCGCAATGTCTATGCGGCTCGGAGCACCTGCTAGCCAGCGATTGTTATGGCTTTCGGGAAGTGAGAGGACGGGATGGAGGAGATGTAGGACTGATCGTGCTGGTACCCTGCCGCCCGGCGAACGAGTGCCCGGGTGATCGGAGCTGCTTCCTGGGCCCTAGCCGAGTGAAATAGATGCACGGTCGGTTTGCAGTCGCCAGTCAGGCAGTGGATCTTTTAGGCTGGGTTTTTTTTTTTTTTTTTCTTCCTGACTTAACCCTACTTTGCTTGTCTGCAAACTCCCTTTCCTAGGCTTTTCTTCCCCAGCCAATACGTAAAAGTTTTCTGTGTACGGCTGTACTTGGTGAATTTTCTTTCTCAATTTTATCTCATAGTGGCATGGGTTTTTTTAGCGTTAGGGCTTTCGCGTTGGAGTTTTTAGGAGTTCGTTCAGTGCAGCCTCACCACTTAGTTTCCTGTTCATTTTGCAGTTTGCTTGGACATAGGCTATTCTCTGAGGTCTGAAAGGCTTGCCAGTCGTGGCGCTTTCCGTAGATGTTATGTCTATTCTTCATACGGTTAAGTGAAATGCTAGTGAGAAAGGAATTTTCTAAACAGACCTAAAGGGGACAACTTGTATTGCAGAATTATTTAAACTGAGACTTTTTATTGTTCAAGGCCTGCTGGGAACAGGACTTCTAAAAGGCAACTATGTCTGGAAGGTACGTGTTTTAAGTATCATTGCTTTCTGGTTTTTGTTAGACATGAAACCTAAACGAGAGCTTAGGAAAAAAATGAGATGTTAGGTAACTTTTGGGTGGGGAGGACATCATCACAAGGGTAATTATACCGATGGTTGGTTTGTTGAAAACAGTGTAAATGAGATCTTCTATAATAACAGCCCACCGTTAATGTATTTTCTGGTTTTGTTTTTTTTTTAAGGCTGTGGTCCAAGGCCATTTTTGCTGGCTATAAGCGGGGTCTCAGGAACCAAAGGGAGCACACAGCTCTTCTTAAAATTGAAGGTGTTTATGCACGAGATGAAACGGAATTCTATTTAGGCAAGAGGTGTGCCTATGTGTACAAAGCAAAAAAGTAAGTGTGGCATATACTTTAGAATTATTATTGGCAATCTGCTTCATTTTCCTATTGAAAAGATAAAGAGTAAACTGGCGCTGTAGTGGTTTCTACTTTGAGGCCTTGAAGGAACTGAATGGGAAGTTATAGAAGGATGCTGCTTTTGTTTTGTGGGTCGTGGTGGATTTCTATAGAACTTAGGCATTTAGAAAAATTACAGCTGTTAATTGTTCAAGGGAGAAGGTTTTTTTTCTGAGAGATTTTCGCTGTAGGGCCCCTGTGCTTATTAGAGAGGCAGAAAGTGAGAAATCAGCTGGGGGTGGTGGTGGCCAAGCTGCAATCCTTTCTCTGCTCTACCAGAATCTTGGGCATGCATGCACGCACACCTGATGTGAGTTTCAAGCCACCAGGTGCATGATGTGAACTACAGTTATCCATGTAGGATTCCAGTGATGTAACCCTTATGCCATTTGCTATTTGCTGACCCCAAGAAACTCTTATATTGTGGCCCTTTAAGGATTTACAGAGTAGACCACTTTTCATAAACCTTACTCTGTGTGTGTGTGTGTGTGTAAGATTTTGCTGTAGACCATGCGCACTTGCCAGAGAGAAAACAAGAAATCACCCTTGGGGTGGGGCAGCAGTGCCACAATCCCTTCTCTTCCAATTAACCTCTTGAGATTTTGGGCACATGGGCATGAGTTTCAAGCCATGGGGTTCTAATTGATCCACAGTCAGCCACCTTGGAGTTCACCACCTTAACCGCTTTACCATCTGCTGGCCCAAAATTATACTTTTTATGTGTGCTTAAAGATGTTACTTCTGTAGAGTATTGGTTCTTATTTTTGTAGTTTCCAGAGAGTAGGAGAAAGCACCTTCCAGAGAGGTGCACGCATGCTGTCATTTTACATTTATTTCTCTATCTTGTTGGGATTTTAAAAGTGTGCTGGGGCCAGGATTTCAATCTGAGTGGGCCATGTGAGATCTGGCTCCTTTAACAGCATTAATTTTTATTTTTGCTGTAGGGTGCATGCGCTTGCCAGAAAAGGCAGAGACAGGCAGAAAGTGAGAAATCACACCCTGGGGGTTATGGCCACGCCACAATCCCTTCTCCGTTCTCCTCTCAGGATCTTGGGCACACACTCAAACTACTCAAACTGCAGTGGAGTACATGGGAGTCCAACAGTTGTTAATTATTTATCAGCCCCCCCCACACACACACACACTTTTTAAAAGGTTTTTGCCTGGGGCCAGCAGGTGGCCTGGTGGTTGAGGGTACTGCATCCCCACATGGCCTATTGCAAATAAATTGAGTCAATTAAAATTAGATAAAATAGAGACCAGCAGTTGGTGTAATGGCTATGTCACAGGACTTCCACATAGTCGGCCGCAGTTCAAGTCCTGGACCCAGCGACTTAAACTCAAGCCGGGCACGTGTGCGTGCGTGCCTAAGATCCCAAGAGGAGAATGGAGGAGAAGGGATTGCAGCGTGGCCATCTCCCCAGGGGGTGATTTCTCGCTTTTTCTCTCTCTGTCTCTCCGTCTCTCCGTCTTTCTGGCGAGCGCATGCGCCCTCTAATGAAAACCTCTCAAAAAAAAATTAGATAAAATAATTCTCTTTTATTGTGATAGGGTGTGTGCGCTCACCAGAAAGGCAGAGAGAGAAATCATCCAGCAGGGGGATGGCTACCCTGTAATCCCTTCTCCATTCTCCTGTTGGGATCTCGGGCGGGCACGCACGCACGCACACACATCCACCCGGCATGAGTTTAAGCCATCAGGTCTGGGACTCGAACTGTGGCCAACTGCATGGGAGTCCACCAACAGAGCTTTTTGTCTTAGAAAGAGTGAGCCAGACAGACATAATGAGAAGGAAAGTGAAAAATCACTGTCAAGGGGGAGTGGCTATGCTGCAGTCCCTTTTCCATCCAACTCCTGGGATCTTGGGTGTGTGTGACACGCGGTTGTTTGTTTTTAGAATTATTATTTTGGTTCACCAGAGAAACAGCAAGGTGCCAGGTCCAAGACTTGAACCATAGTCATCCATGTGGGAGTCAGTGCCTCAACCACCACTTCACCTGCTGGCATGATTTTTGAAGCCATTGGTTCTGGGACTTGAACTCTGTCGGCCATGGCCATATGAGAATCCAAGGCTGTGGCTGTTGTGCCATCTGCTGGCTCCCTATCCTGGTTCTTTTTGAAAGTTTTTTTTGCTATAGGGTGTGTGCTTGCTCCCTGGAAAGACAGAGACAGAAAGCGAGAAATCACACCCCCCTGGGGGATGACCACGCCACAATCCCTTCTCCTTTCAGGATCTTGGACATGCATACACACGCGCCCAGCGTGAGTTTATGCCACTGGGTCCGGGACTTGAGAACCACGGTCAACTACGTGGGAGTCCAGCAACATAGCCATTATGCCAACTGCTGGTCCCATGTGTACATTTTTTAAACCTCTGATTCATCTCATTTAGTAAAGCCCAAATTTAATTTTTAAAAGAATTATGGGGCTGACAGGTGGAGTGGTAGTTAAAGGCACTAAATTCCCACATGTTCGACTGGGGTTCAAGTCCCAGACCTGGCAACTTACTTTCTCGCTTTTCCCTTTCTCTCTGTCAAATTTTAAAAAATAATAACAAAATGGAATTAAATAATTCTCTCAAAATGAATTTCATTTAGTATTTTTTTCATTTTTTAAAAAATTAACTTTTTTATTTATTTATTTTAATTTCAGCAGAAAGTCGGCGCATTGTCTATGCGGCTCGGAGCACCTGCTAGCCAGCGATTGTTATGGCTTTCGGGAAGTGAGAGGACGGGATGGAGGAGATGTAGGACTGATCGTGCTGGTACCCTGCCGCCCGGCGAACGAGTGCCCGGGTGATCGGAGCTGCTTCCTGGGCCCTAGCCGAGTGAAATAGATGCACGGTCGGTTTGCAGTCGCCAGTCAGGCAGTGGATCTTTTAGGCTGGGTTTTTTTTTTTTTTTTCTTCCTGACTTAACCCGGCTTTGCTTGTCTGCAAACTCCCTTTCCTAGGCTTTTCTTCCCCAGCCAATACGTAAAAGTTTTCTGTGTACGGCTGTACTTGGTGAATTTTCTTTCTCAATTTTATCTCATAGTGGCATGGGTTTTTTTAGCGTTAGGGCTTTCGCGTTGGAGTTTTTAGGAGTTCGTTCAGTGCAGCCTCACCACTTAGTTTCCTGTTCATTTTGCAGTTTGCTTGGACATAGGCTATTCTCTGAGGTCTGAAAGGCTTGCCAGTCGTGGCGCTTTCCGTAGATGTTATGTCTATTCTTCATACGGTTAAGTGAAATGCTAGTGAGAAAGGAATTTTCTAAACAGACCTAAAGGGGACAACTTGTATTGCAGAATTATTTAAACTGAGACTTTTTATTGTTCAAGGCCTGCTGGGAACAGGACTTCTAAAAGGCAACTATGTCTGGAAGGTACGTGTTTTAAGTATCATTGCTTTCTGGTTTTTGTTAGACATGAAACCTAAACGAGAGCTTAGGAAAAAAATGAGATGTTAGGTAACTTTTGGGTGGGGAGGACATCATCACAAGGGTAATTATACCGATGG